AGATTGTTGTTACCTAAGCAAACAAGAAATAAAAAAAGTAAAAAGATACAAACCAGGGGTATGAATGGGTCATGGGACCCACGGTAAGAACGAAGTTCTTTAAACATGAGATCAGTATAGAGACACTTAATTTTTCAGGTAACAAGAGGGTCTTGAGACCCATAGAAAGAATAAAGCTTTTTAAAAATTAGTACTGCATTCATGTAGTTCACTCAAACAAAAACTTGAAAAACGAATGAAAAAAAAAATTGAGTTTAGTACTCACGATGGTTGAACTTCGTGAGTACTGTATTTAAGCATGACGTTATCAAGAAGCTTAACCATCGTGAGTCCTGAACTAAATTTTTTTATTTTTTTTTATTCGTTTTTCAAGTCTTTGTTTGAGTGAGCTACATAAATGCAGTACTAATTTATATAGAGCTTCGTTCTTTCTATGGGTCTCGCGACCCCATTGTTACCTGAGAAATTGTATGTCTTTATACTCATCTCATGTTTGAAGAACTTCGTTCTTACCGTGGATCCGATGACCCATTTATACCTCCTGGGTTATTTCTGCTAATTTTTTTCCCTTCATAGCTGTTAGGTTCGCCCAATGCAGACTTTGGAGAGGATCGGTGATTCCTGGTTAAATTCATAGAGTCAAGAGTATAATATAGGGTCGTTGGTCACCAAGATTTCCAGGCTTGCGAAGAACAACTCTGCTCGTGACGACTGCCAGTAAATGACTGACTTGGTTTAATAGTGGTCATTTTCAGTTAGCATAGTCTTTGAGTCGACGAATCGCTACCAAAAATGGTAGTAAAAATGTATATGTTGGTAAGGCAGTTTAAATTTAGGTGGCCCTTAAAAGAACCTATGAGATTGATAGTTTTGTAGAGAACGTAAATACTTAAAATAGCCCCAAAAAGGGCCAGTGGTGAAACTTCCAGCTATCGTTATTATTATTGTTGATGATGAAGAACTGTATGTAGGTAGCTTGACTCTTACCCTCGAAGTCTCTATGTACGGAAACTGTGATAAAGGGAGGTACGTCACTGACCACATAATATTTCGTCTTCAGGTCGTTTCCCAGATCACCAACCGCTCATCGTTAGTCGGGAAAATGTGAGTATGCCATTAGAAACACGACCACTGAGAAGGAATCCGTTATGATTGCCCATGCCCCCCAGGGCTATCTTCCCTGGCTTACATTTGTAGTAAAAAATTCTCTGACGGCACCAGGCGGGATGGGTGAACGGTCATATAACTCTGAAGTGTTGGAGCAGGTTGAGTTCTGGCTAGATACGTCTCCTGGGATTCTGCCGGAAACGTTATCAGTTTGAATATTTATTTATCGGTGGCAGTCGTCAATCTTAAAGTTTCAGGGTGGAAGTAGACCTAGGTCCCTTGCCCATTGGAGAAGAGTGTCGTCGGTAACCGGAATACCCAGCAGCACAACTATTATCAACAGTCTCGATACAGCTCGATTATCTACCAGTACACGACTGCAGAAATTTTTGAGATGCTCCAGCTTATTATAACCATACTTATGTAATTCTGTTGCAGGTAGCCTCAATTTTATGTCAACGTCACCTAGTGGATCCTACTGAACTAAAGTAAAAAGCTGACATATTTTTGCAAAATTTGAGCTTGTTTATTTCTACTGTTATTAAATTTTTTAAGACAAAAAATAAAATAAAACCATCTAGGAAGTGTCAAGAATCGGTGTGCAAAATTTCAGCAAAATCGGTTTCATAGCTTTTACGGTTAGCGATTACAATGGATTTAGCAACTTTGCTTCATATATTTGTAAGATTATTTTAAAACGTAGCACAGTCTTCTCTTTTTCGCTAGAATAAAAGCGTCGTTGTTAAAGAAAAAGTAGTACAATCCCTCTAACGTATAAAACAAAGTTGCTAAAACCGTTGTGATCGCTAACCGTGAGAACTACTCAATTAATCTTGCTGAACTTTTGCATATTGATTCTTGACACTTTCTAGATGGTGGTAGTATAGTTTTTGTCTTCGTAAATAAAATAACAATGGCAATAAATAAGCTTTAATTTTGTAAATAAATGCTAGCTTTTTATTTTACTTCAGTAAGATGTACTAGGGGGCGTAGAAGTAAGATTGAAACAACCTGCAATAGAAATATGTTAGTCTGGTTACAATATCCCCGAGAAAAGTACCGAATATTACAGTCGTTAATTAATAGTGCATAAAGCATAGAGCTTAAAGTCGTGCAGCTAGGTATTCTAACTACCGATAACACTGTTCTTTAATGGACATGCGACTTACGTCAAATTTCACCTCAAACAACCAAGATTTACGAGTGCCACAAATAAAAAGATGTTCTAAATACTAACGTCTCCAGCGTAATACCAGATGACATATCG